GTTATAAACATAACCCATTCACCCATTGTCCCGTCAATAAAGAAATACAAGAATCCGGAAAATGTAATTGTAATGCTCCTGATAGTTTTGGTAAGAACTTTAATATAAAGATTTTTTATTTATTAGGATTATTATTGAAAATTTAAATTTCTTTTTGGTAGATAATGGCTATTCCTGTACAAAAAAATGGTTTGGTCTCTAATGAGGGTATTGTATTTTGTATTTTGTATTTATAATTGCAAGATTTAAGTTTATTTTACATGTTAATGATAGAAAATAGATAGCATAGAAAAGTCAATAATCAATCTAATTAATAAAATATAAAATCTGTTACTATTTGCGACTTTAAAAATATCAAAATTTGATAAATATCTAGCCCATCTCTTTCGAAAGTAACCCCGTTTTTTTTCAAGTAATTCTATTTTCAAAGGTCTGGGACCTACTTCTCCAGCTTGATTTAAGGCTGCTATTATTATATTCCCATCTAATTTATAATGCTCCTATATTGCAAATATTAAGTTGGTAAAATTCGTTTTGTATAATATTTTTAAATACTCCAGATTTTGACAATTTTGATCAATTGAATGAAGAAGCTCTCCTAAACGTGATCATCGTTTGGAATGCCATCAATATTCAAAGCTTTAGACATGCTTTCGTTGATTTTAATAAAATCGGATGCCTAACAGAAATGTTGATAAATGAATCTCCAATCAATAGAAATGATGTACGCCTTAAATTTTAAATTTATCATTAGTCGGCCTTCTTAAAAGAAGCGAATAATTAAACTTTTTAAAAGTGGGTATTACTAAAGAATCTAAATTGCCTGTCACGCTGCTACAATGATTTATTACGATTTGAAAAATTAATATTATTTCTTTATTTTGTTTTTTGTGCTCTAACTAGTTATCACGTCTAATGTTACAAGTTCCTCTGAAAGTGTTTCTACATATAATCTCTCTAATCTCCCAACAGCTGAAGTCGTGAAAGAATGGTATCAAGGAGCAAATGACTTAATTATGATAATTTAATTAAAGAGCTCGAAGTGTTATTTTAACACAGGTCACTGATTTGGATGCAAAGTAGAATGTTAAAGTGAGAAAATTTAGATTTAGTTAACAATCTTGTATGCATTATTTTTTTATTAATTGTGAACAATAATATTACTCTACAAAAAATATTTCATGATCTGTAATGAAAAGGTAATTTAATCAATAGTAAGAACAAACATTTATTTCGATTTGCACTTCAAAATTTAGTTAAAATAGCGAAAAAAAATGAGTAAAAATAAATATACATGTTATTTAAAAAAAATCAATTTATCAAGATAGATAATTTCAAATTTTTTTTTAATAAAAAATATGCGACAAAATGAATTTTCTTCATCATTCTAATTTTTAAAATAAAATAAAAAATGAATTTTCCTTTCTTTCCACAAAAAAATTTAATAATTTGTTATATATTTATGCCTAATACTAAAATTGTTCAATTGCACACGCAAATAATTTCTTTATTGTTTTTTTTTTAAAAAACATTAATTTTTATATTAGTTTTAATGTTAATAATGGCGTTGAAGGAGGCAGCATAGTGGTTGCTAAATTAAAAAGGATTTCTGTGGTGGCCTGGATTGGTAAGTTTATCATTTTATCAATATATATGTAAGAAATAAAGTAACATATATATATATATATATATATACATGTCATTATAGGTTGAAAATGATAAAGAGCTGCCTGAATATGTATTTAGCAAAGACTAAATGGACAAAATTATATGTCAAATCCTTTGGCTCAAAAAATTAGTATGTTCGTATCAGTCGCAGGACATTGCGTTTAAAATCGCAGAAGTTTTGGGAATTGTTAATTTATAATATCAATTCAAATAAAACTTTTAAAAAAGCATTCTGTGAAAATACTCAAAAGCCATCGAGTAAGCAAGGATTGTATCTTAAATAAAAGTTTTTCTAAGGATATATCCCTGTAAAAAATGACACTCCAGAATATTTCCCCGTAAATGTTCAGTTTATTAGTATTAGCAACCAGTTGAGTAAGCAATCCGAATTTTTTCCATGATGTCATTTCTATTAATATAGGGACATTTGTAAATCTGGGATTAAAACAGAATTCTGGAATATTATTGAGTGACTGATAAAGTCACAAATAAAAACAAACCTTTTTATTATTAATACTAAAAAATGTACGGAAAACAGAAAACGTACAGTTTTCCGTAAAAATTTTTTATAGTAATAGGGGATAGATAGATGAATAAAAAAAAGCATTGATTTTTGTCAGCTAAAATCAGGGATTAGATGTTGAAATTCTCATTTATTATTATATTGCCTATGGCCTGGGATCCACATATCCCTCCCTTGAAAGAAACAATTTACAATGTAATAAATTTTGTTACTTTAGTCAATACAATTTTCAGTAAAAATATAGCATGATCAGATAGTTTAATCAGTTTCCATTGGATCATTTAAAAAGTCCGAGATATCATATCCAAGCAAATCTTCTTCTTCACCTAACAATCGAACAGATTCTTCAGTTCCATCAGGATATATCAATTGAACAGATTCAAAGTTTCAGCACAGAGAACATATATATCATGCTTTTTATGTTGCTCTGGCTCTGGAGCATCCATTCCACTATTACGAATATCAATAAGTGCATGTTTAAGAATAGGGACATATATACCACCTTCTTCAAACCTTTGTTGATGTTCTAGCTGTCTATTTCCATCTCTTAATAGTTCAATTGCCCATGTTTTCTTGTCATTTACATAAAAGTCTATGTAACCCTTCGATCCAAAGCATGCTCCAGCATCTACGGAAGCATAAGTATCTCTAGATAAAACCTGCATTGAGGCACGGTAAAATTCCATTTGCCAGACACGTTCAAGAAGACGGCCATCTGTGCCTCTGCCTTTACTTTTTTGCAATATTTTTGGATTCATTTTTGCAAAAACTAATTTGATAAATTCATTGAATGTACTAGGAGGTGATTTAGGTCGGCTTATTGCACCAAAACGGTTTTGAAGGTATGTTACTCGAAGCAATGGTGCTGGAAAATCAAGCAGTGCAATATGTGATTCATTTGAACTTGTATCAACAAGTGCATTGGTCTTAAGAAGTCGACCATCATTTAGAATTTTCTCTGTTTCATAATCAAGACCCCCTTTTTTGAAGAGTACAGCATCAACAATTCTTCTTTCTTCATATGAAAGATCAGAAGTTGGATAAAATGCACGGATAGTCTGGAAATGTATACCATATACAAATTGTTTAGTAAATACAACTATATAGTTATTAGAATAATACAAAAATATAATACATAACCTTGAGGTAATTATTAAAATCATGAGATTTCAGATAAGAAAAAATTATATCAAAAGATAAAGAATTACTGTCTTTTTTGGTAAATCTTTCACGAATGTGATCCATAGTGTAAGCAATTAGACCTGGATGATAAGCTGTTATTTTAGACAAATAGTTAAAAAGATATGGAATGTCATCTTTTACCAATTTTTCTTTAAGATGTGCTTCACAAAATTGGTCAAAATAAACCCTAAATTCTTCTTTGGTATAGCAAATATCTTTATATCCCCATTTGTTTTTTGTAGTAAGATTATTAAGTGGTGAAATGTCCATGTCTGAACGTTTTCCACGAGTAGCATAAGCACCATAGTGACCATATGAGGCCAACACTACAATGAAAAGCTGTAAGTTTTGCATTATGCGCTTAAATGCATCCCAAAATACACTTCCACCATGACTAGGTTCTCCACTCATTTTCCTATATATTTTTTGCACTTCATCGATAATCAAATATGTTTTTTTATCACCACATTGCTGGAGAAACTCATTCCATGTCATATTCATAAGCATTTGAAATCCATCCACAAATGTCCACGAAGGATCAATCAAGTTTTCCATCCAGATCAATGAAATGCGAAAAACACAAGCTGATCCATTCTGCACTTCATCTAATTGGAGCAACTTGGCCTCAAATAGTTGTCCAAGAGATGTTTTTCCTGTCATTGGTGGTGATCTAATTAGAATAATGCGTTCTTTAAACAGACATTCAAGCAGTCTGTTAATAGTTGGTTCTCTCTGACATACAGTAGCACTAGTAAGGTCAACGCCTTCATAAAAAGAACCACCTTCCAGTCCTTTGTAAGTTGTTCCTCCAAGACCTCCTATTCAATACAAAATAGTGAATAACAATGAATCAAATTCACATTAGCATGAAAGTTAAAGACAACAGCTTTATACCTAGTCTTGATATTCCCTTATTTTTAAGTGCGTCTGTTAAAAAACAAAACAGGTTAACCAAACATTGCAAATAGTATTTACTAAACATTCCTGTAAACTGATGTGAACAACAGACAACTGGGTGAATGCACTACTCTATGACTCAGTGATTGTTGTAACAGCATTTGAACTATCCTCATCCGTTACTCCATTTTATTTAATCCAAATGTATCATATCTTGATAACATGTTGTTCACCATTAAAACAAGTTATGTATAACCTAGCTTTGTTACTTGACCCATTTTGGCAAAAAAATTTTTTAAAAAAAAAAAGTCAAGAAAGCTTGGCGGAAAACCAAATCATGTTGTATTCCATGAATTTGTTTATACTGATAAAAATATAAAGGTAAACCAGAGCAATTCTCTTGCAATCTGTAAAGGATGTACAACAAGAAAAGGATTCAGTAATGCTAAAACAGAAGCTCAAAATTTAGGAATTTCAAACACAGTGAAAAGCATTGAGAAGCACTTGTTAGATTGTGAAATTCAAAAAACTTGCTATCTTGATAAAATTGAATTTGTAGAAAATTATCTTGAAATAATCAAACAAAAAGAATCGTAAAATAGATCAATAAAATTACTAGAATAATAGATGAGAATTTACTTTTTTATAATATATATACATATATATATTTATTTGCATGTTTCTATATTGATATTGAATATTTTCTTCTTTGACATGTTTTAATTGTCACAGTAAAGTACAGTCAACAACAAACTTTGTTTTCAGCATGAATTTTGGTTTTGACCCATTTTTATTAATTAAAAAAGTCATATTTCATAAACCACTGTAAACGTTCAAATAATTATCACAATTATTTACAAACGTTTAGATATTTATTTAACACTGTTAATGAACTGATAATTTTATTGTTGTAAAATTATATAAAAGTTATCTTTATTTGTTTGAATTTTACATCTTTAAATAATAAAAATACAATTCTTAAAATACAAATATAAATCATAAAGAAACAAATAAATATATAATCTATATATTGTATGGAAGCTTATAGACTTCCCGGAAAGTATTGATCATAATTTAAAGATAACTTTTTAATTATAAATAATATAAATAAAAATTATGTTCCCCACAATATAACATAACAATATAATATCCAATTTTCTTAATAAAACTAATAATGATAATAATAATAATAATAATATGTATAATTCTTCACCAAAAATCCCGATTGCCAAGTAACAAATTAAACGATAAAAAAAAAATGAATTCCTCTTACCAAATATGGTAATAAAACTAAATGCCATTTGTGTGACATATTATTTCGAGGATTGTTACAACTTTTGGTAGTTACATGATAGACAAAATAATATAAAAATGTTATTAATCCATCGATCTTTGATAATCATTGAACTTTATTGTAAAAGGTTTAGGTCCTTTCCAATTCTTCATTATATTATCAAAAGAATTGACATTAATAGTAGAAAACTCACAAGAAAACACTATTAATGTTAATTTTTTTGGTAATGTTTGACTTAGTATTGAAAGTATTTTATCACCATCTAATGAACCTTTAGAAAAATAATACTCAGCATAATTATAAAATGTAATGCTTTCTAATTTAATACAATTATTGAATATCCCTGTTAACTCCTGGTTTACTTTATCATTATAAAATATTGATAAGTTTACTAGATTTTTACACTGTTGTGCAATTGATTGAAATAACTTTCCCAAAAATTTACTATCATTTTCACCACCATAAACACTCAGATATCTAAGAGTTTTTCCATTATTGTTAATAAAATCAGACAAGTCTGATAGAAATTCTTGCCCACGAATATGTAATATCATAAATTCAATATTTGGCTGTAAAATATTTTTCAACCATTTTAACTCATCACCAAAATAAGAAGAAGTATTCCTTAATCTTAATCGTAAAAACTTCAAGTTTTTAAGTGATGGTAATAATATATGATCAATATTGTTGCGCCCATTACTTGAATAATGGGTTATTGATTGTGAATGTGCAAGAATTGCTTTTATGAAATTATCTGATAAAGCATGATTTATGTTTAAACAAATGGCTAATTGTTTTATTTGATTTTGTGCTTTAATTAGTTGAATCAGACTATCATCAAGTTTATTGTTATATGTACCATATATTTCCAATGATTGAATACATTTGCAAATATTTGCTAATTTATCAATAAATTCATTACTAACAGGATTATACTTGGAACTATAACAAACAAATTCATTAAGATACTGAAAACTACTACCAAATCTATGACAGTTATTTACCAGATAAGAACCTATACTGGAATTATTAAAACATCTAATAACTGCTAAATGATCTAAAGTAAAATTTATTAACCTATCTTGTAAAATATCTGGTTTGGAGGCATTGTACAGCAATTGTAAACTGGAACGATTTAAATGAAATTTAGTGCAAAATCTAGCATAATTATATAATGGTGATTTATCCAATAGCTCAAAAGTCAATTCAATGCCATTTCTTGTTAAGAAATCCTTGTCTTCTTCCAATAAACAATTAATTATTATTTTGGTGCTGCCTTTAGAACAAAATGGATTTTCCCATAAAATTGGAATGTTAATGCTGTGCCATTGTTTATTGACAAGAATGCAAGAATATAATGTTTTGTAATCATAACTATTGTATTTAGATACTTTGGTTAAAAGCTCAGGTGGTAAAGTCATTGTTAATTTTCTTTTTTTTTTTTTGTAAAAAAAAAAATTAATTTATTTGTTGCACAATAAAATGATTTATTTTTTTTTTCTAATTATCCGCAATTTTGCGCAGCATTATGAGAATAACTCAATTTTATTGGTGGATTGGGTGCTTATTTAAAAATCGATTTGGTGATTGCGGATATTTTTTGTGGATAACTACATGATAATAATTAAAATCAATTTATATGTACAGTATATTATATCATGAATCAATATTTTTGGATCCTCTCAAAAGAATAAATAGAAAACTTAAAAGGAGGCATTATTGACTTTAATTTTTTTGATGATTTTTGAATGTATTATATGGTCTAAGCCTGTTAAATTCATATTTGATAAATTCATAATTGTCATAATTGCCTAAATCATAAAATTTTCGAAAGTTTTCATGATATGAAGAAATTATTAAACTATGTAATTTAAAAATATGTATAAAATAAATTCTAAATAAATAAAACTAACAATCTTTATGCATTAAAAAAAAAAAATTTACTGAAAATTTGTTTGCTATTTGATGCAGTCCTAACTGATTTGACACTCAAGAGTGTGACAACTAACTTAATTATAAATTTAGATTCGATTATATTAAATTCATTATTGATAATACTACTTATTACAAACACATAATTGGATCAGGGTTTTTAAGATTGGCAGTTTAGAGTTTCGTTAGTACTTAAACATTTACTGATAAAGCTAACTAACAGCCGAACATATTAATAGATTAATAATATTTTACGATTATTTTTTATTAATATATTAGTATTTACATCTATTATAAAAATAAATCAAATGTGTGGAAATTCAAATTGTGGAACTTATATGCGTTAATTTAAAATTTAAATTTATAACTTATTTATTATTATTAGCAGCAGCGGTCTTCACTTGATCAGATTCTGTTTGACCAATCTACGTTTGATCATCATCTGTTTGGCCAGCTTCCATTCTACCAGCCTCCATTTGACCATCTCCTGCTAGACTTTTTTTCATTTTTTTCGCCAAAATTGCACTGTATAAGACGGTTACAAGAAACATTACAGCCGGCCAAATATAAGTTACTACATTTGTATAAAGAATGTCTTGATCAATTGAATCCAGTTTGTAAACAATAAGGACACGGAGAGGAGTTATGGCAAGTAATCCTAATCCCCAGCCAGCTGTCATAATAATAAGTCCATGTCGAAATATAGGATAAGAATTCCAAAACCTCTCCCAACGATCATCCATAGGCTTAACTTCCGCTAAATTTTTATTGCCAAATAATCCGCCAGATGCCACGTCTTTGGCAAAATAGAATGTTAAAGGCCGCATTTTGAAGGAACCGATTTTGAATGGAATCAAAGTAATGAGGAACAACACACCAACACTAGCTGTAGCTGCAGATTTTCGCAATAAAACAATTTTTGGATCGCTTCGAAATTGTAACACGATGGCATTGACAATAAAACTGACTAGTATAAGCACTCCCAAAATGTCGATGCGCCTGTTACCAATAAAGCTGATAACAACAACAAGAAACGGCGGGACACCTGATATAACCACTGCCCAAATCTCCGGCACAAAATGTTTAAAAATAGTAAAGAGACTAATGGAGAAAATGACATCGATGAATATCAATAATCCCAAATTTAGAACGTTCTTTATTATTTTTTGCCGAGTTAATTTAGTCTTTTGTGTTGGAGAAAGGGATCCAACCGTATGACTCTCTCTCTTTTGATCCAGTTCTTTTGATTCTTCTCCATTGTGCTGAGACATGTTTTCAAAAATTTCTGGAGAGTATTATTGTAATGATTTAATTCCAAAGCAATAAATAATATTTATAACTATTTTTTGATTTAAAACTAACACCCTTTTTTTTTAAACCAAAAATGGTTAATTATACAAACAAAGAAACTAATAATTAATAACGAATGACGCGCCAAAAATCCAAAGTAAGGATGTCATTTTTTTAGATAGCAAGGTTATAATTCATAACACTGGCGTGACAAAGTCCAAAGTGAGAATGTAATTTCTTTATATAACATTATGATATGCATAAAATGGTTTAAAGTGTTCTTTGAAGAAATCTTTCAAGTTTTGTTTATTTATTTATATGCAGTTATACATCAGGAAACATATACTTGTAAGTTCCTGCGTAAGAATTGCATAAGATTACAAGCCTAATGCGTCTGTTATTACATGCAATACTAGTTTTACTCGAAATTTACACAAAAAAATTCCTGATGAAGGAAGAATATCCACAATAATAGCTTATTATTGTCTGCCGCCAATTTTTGTCATACAGTCCAGAAGTTCTATAATAAGAACAAATGTTGCCTTTCTTTAAAAAAGGTTACATATATCGCCTAAAAAAAAAATTTAAAAGCTTGCGGGTTAGAATTTTAACGTTTTACATTTTAATATAGTAATAAGATACGAAATTGAGAATAGATGATTCTCGTATAACAAAAATTTCTTTATTATTATTGCATTTAAAACAATAATGATTGATATATTACGATTTTTTAGTGGGAAAATAAAAACTTAAATGTGGAACTAGTATTAGTCTCCAAAACCAGAGAGCGCAAAAGTCAAAGGTTTCGCCATAAGTCGAAAATAATTTTGACTTTTGATTTAACTTTGATGTATAACTTTTAATTTTAGTTTTGGCGACCAACACTATATGGAACCCGAGAGTAAGAGTTGACTGTATAAATTGTAATACCAAATTTATATATTGAAAAATATACTATGATGCGGGACCTCTTAAATCACCAATTTTGTACGAGATTTTAAAAATAACTCTAATACTATTACTATAATTGCATTGTATGTGAAATTGATGTTGAAACCTGTAATTAAATATGAAGGAGTGTTTGGGTACGAAATTCATTTTGTTTGACTAATTTAATTTCAACTATGTGAATTACAAATTCATTTTCACACATAGATTAAGACTCAAGCTTTTATTGTGGTTGAATTCCGCTTTTTTAGTACATGTTTTTTTTTCATGAAGAGCTTGGCGCTTGGCCGCGAAAAATCATTATTAATTAGTAAATTTATAGATTGGATGATTGTTCTAATTTTAGTAAATTTTGTATAGCTAATCATAACAACCAAAAATAGGCCATATGTTTTTATTTTGGCGTCAAAAATCACCGGGATACTAGAAAAGCACAGGGCACAGGGATCTGCAAAATTCGCCTGTCCCCTGTGCTTTTCAAGATTTCACCATCA